TCTCACATTGTGACTTTATTTCTTATTTTAACCTATATCATGATCTTTTTTCTATTTTGTACTTCAAGATACAAATCTATTGCTAGTTTGAACAGTGACAGGCAGATATATTTACCAGAATATGAGGTATTATAATAGAGCTTGGCTTTATTACTTTCTAATTTAAGTTGAAAATAGCTGTTATGCTTCTGTATCAGTCCTGAGAGGTTTTGAAGAAGCAAAACCTTAATTGTAAAAGAAACCATGAGTCAAAAGTCACTAATCACAAGCATAGAAATTTATGACTGTGAACTGTTTTGGTGCCCAGAGAATAGTCTTGTCACCTGTTGGATTCCATTTTTAACATCCATTGTGAACTTTAACAAGACAAGTGTGTCAAGGTCTTGAATTTGTTCTCAAGTCAAAATCACATGCATGTTTCTGTCTCTTGTTGCCCACAGGCTGACTACAGACTGATAGTCTTCAGTTTTATCTCCAAATTACTTCTAATTTTATCCCAAAAATTGTATTCACTATATTATATGATATTTATACACTGTATTATATTATATTATATTATATTATATTATGATATCATCGATTATTTATTTGAAATTAGATTTCAAACATCTAATTTTTGTATGTACGCACATGTGTGGAAATTTATGGGAGTGGGATAAATAAGATTCCCCTTTCTGGCCTTGTCCAGAATCTCATGGAGTACATAGCTAAAATTTACAAGCACAGACAACAGAGGATATACTGATCTGGGTAATGTCTTTGAGGACGTCATGTACCAGGGCGACAGGATTCCCCCCACCTCCATATTTAGATGTAATAGAGACCTGAATTTTTCAGGCGAGGCTTGTGTAATTCAGTATGTTTGGCCTTTTCGAGGTGCTGGGTCATTAACATTTCTATGAGTTATCAACATAGATACTTCTGGTCTCTTTCCAGAATGTGCTAAAACCCCATAGCCTATGTAATAGAGCAGAAATATTGCGCTAAGTTGTTCTATCATCACGTTTACGCTTAGTTTTATGAAATGGGTTGCCCTTGACTGACCAGCATGGACTGTTCCAGTGTTCCCACCTTCCAGGAATGAAGACAGCATGATGAATATCTGTCCAGGAGTTGTAAATCATATTAAATTATTAACTTAGCACCATCTGTTGAGCAACATGTTGCACAGTGTCTTCAGGCCATCATACCATTCCTGCAAAAAAAAAAAAAGAGATCATGACATTTACTTTACTTCCCTTGCTGTTAGTCCTTATGTGAGAGCTGCTGAATGTGTGAATATGAACATACTTCTGGGAGTGATCCTGCATCAGATGATCATGTCTATAAATAAGATTTCTTAAATAGATGTGTGACCGATGAGTGAGACTGATAGAGTGAGAAGGCTCAGATGATTTCTTTAGGAAAGCAAGCTGGCGGTTGTTGATTCTCGTTACACTTGGTATTTCAGTTACAGGCCAGCTGAGGCCAGAGATCACACTTAGGAACATACCGCTGTTCTATTTTGTTGAAATGATACTGTAAAATGTTGCTCTCTAATATGCAGAGTGGGAGTCAATGGAATCTCTCTGACTGCTTTGAATTATATTAAATTTGTCTTCACTGCCACCTATCTAAGAACTTCCACAATGTCCCCTAGCATATCTTTCTTATCTGTCCGACTCAGACACACTGTTCATTTGATACCACAGAGTCTGCTTAGCTGCAACAGCAGCACCAAGGACAAACAGATCATCTAAAGTAGGCAATATTTCATCAGTCAAATGTGACAAGTTGACAAAATGTGCTTTGGCGCATTCTAACTGATTGTCTCATCTTAGATAACTAGCTATGCTGTGTCAACAACCCTCCTGGTAGATGTGCTGAACAACATTAACCCTTTAAAGGGGTCCTATTATGCTTTTTCATTTTTTTAACGGTAACACTTTACAATAAGGTTCATTAGTTAAACATTAGTTAATATATTAACTAACATGAACTAACCATGAGCAATACATTTGTTACTGTATTTACTAATCTACGCTAACGTTAGTTAATAAAAATACAGATGTTCATGTTAGTTCACAGTGCATTAACTAATGTTAACAAGATTTTAATAATGTATTAGTAAATGTTGAAATTAACATTATCAAAGATTAATAAACGCTGTATACGTGCAGTTCATTATTAGTTCATGTTAACTAATGTAGTTAACTAATGAACCTTATTGTAAAGTGTTACCTTTTTCAACTTTAGTTAGTCTGTAATGTTGTTGTTTGAGCATAAAAAAGATCTGCAAAGTTACAAAGTTCAAAGTCCACTTCAAAAGGAGATATTTTATTTAACAGAAATCACTTTTCAAAAACTACAACAAACGACTAGTTTGGACTACAACTCATATTTTCTGGGATTTGTGATATCACAAATATCGACGAATGGGATGAGACCTGGTTGCGCTGCACTAGAGAAGGCAACGAGTGTTATCACTAAGTCGGAGACACGCTAGCTTTCCCAAGGCAGACGAACTTAGAGGGGTTACAATCATCCGGGTTTAAATCGCGCTCAAATTGATTTGATTTTGACGCAATATTTACACTGGAGCTGGCAGGCGGCTATTGTAAGGGACATGACATTTCCCGACCAGGCGTCGAGTGCTGCCAATCACAACACACACTGGCCCAGCTAACCAATCACAGCACATTTCGTATTTCAGAAGGCCGGCCTTCATTTGATACAGGAACTGTTCGAGCCGTTCATGCCAGACTGGGGAGAGAGGTGTTGTAATAATGTAAAATATGTGAAAAATAATGTGTTTTTCGAACAACCTAGTCTGAGACCTAGCCTGTTCTAGTACACCCCCAAAACAAAATCAAGACTTTGTAAAAAGAGCATAATAGGACCCCTTTAACATTTAGTTTTATTCACTGGAATGAAGCACTGGCCACCAGACAGTAAACTCGATTTTGTCACTTTCCAGCACTGGAAATACCCTTGTGAAAAAGAAGTACAATTTAGCATACTTTTAAAAAGAGTACTTCTTGCAGAATATACTTTGAAAGAATATACTTAAGTGAGAACCGAATGAAATGTTTACTTGCCCTTAACTGCATGTAATTTAAAATTCAATGAAAATGTAATAATTACATTTATATTAAATGCAATTTTGGAGTTAAATGCAAAGCACTTTTTAAAGGTGTACTTAAGTGTGTTAAGAAACATACAGTTGTCATGAAATTGTACACTTAAGTGGTCAAGTACAGTTTTTTAAACTTACTTTTAGGATTTGATGTAAACAGGTGCACTTTTCCACAAAAAAACTGAAACATTTTTGAGATCTAACCATGTAACTTCTCCTGGTAAATCATCACTGTATGATTTTTAAAAAAGTACTATATTATTTTATATATTATACGATATAAGTACTATAAGTATCATATTTTGATAGGCTGATAGCCTTACTCTGCATTTTATGCATTCATTGTTTGAACTGTGAACATTTAGCAAATGTGTGCACTCTCTTGGACAGATTTTAATGGTTTTGTCAATCCTTCTTTAAAAATATAATTCTTAAATATATGACCCAATATTCAAAAGTCTGTCCAGGAGAGAGCACACATGCTGGGGACCATGTGGTTGTGGTTGTGAAACTATGGCAGCTGTGTGGTACTTTACACTAGACAAATGTCTTTCACCTCTTGCTCATGTTACAAGGACATGCTGTCACAGTGTTTGAAAAACACCCTGCTGGCATGTTATTAATTATATGTAATGAAGTGAGCACATGTCTGATGGAAAGCCTTCAGGAAGTTGTCCTCTCTTGCTCTGTTGAGACTAGCTGCGCTTTCATTAAGCTTTAAAGAATTTGTTTATGCATATGTTCTACACCAAAGAACTATTTCACAGTTTATATTGTAAGCTTACTTGGGAGCAAATGTTGAGCCTCAATGAGAATTAATGGCCTCAGTGAAAGGAAAAACTTATCAACAAATGCTTTTTTCTATTGTCGTTTGAATAATGAGCAGACCGTAGAGTTAAAAAAAGCTAGTTAAAAAACAAAACAAAACGTATGTGCCAAATTCTTTGAAATGTAGTGTTTGTGCTATATAGTTTCGAAAACCTTTCATACCATTTTCAGTAAAATATTCAATTTAGCGACTGAATTTTGTGAAAATATGTTAAATAAAGAAAGAAATATATAAAAGTAAAATATAATTCCAGTTTTCAAGCTATAAAATGAATATATTTATCACAAAATATCATAAATTATTAATAAATACATTAAGATTATTTATAAGATATCATTATGTTTTTGGGAGCTGCACTACATGACATATTACACCCTAAGATAATCTTGCCTTGTCATAAAAAGGTCAAATTACCTGATATTTTAAGAGACTTTATTACTGACCTTGACACAAAGTGTCTGGTTTTATGTTTTATTTTTTATTCTGTATGTTGGTCATACCATAGCACTTTAAATGCCAGACAAAGTTTTTCAAATCTTAATAAGCAATCATAATAGATAATACAAAATGAATAATAAATGATTATGGAAATTAATTTAATGTGGCTTTCTTTTCAATAATTTATTTTATTTTTTATATTATTATTATTTATTATGATATCATAGTTATTTAACTCTAGCATTATATATGAACTACATTTTCAATGCATTTTTGAATAAATTAATAGATCCAGAAAACAAATATGCTGAATGAATATTGCTGAATGTACAAGTTCGAATGATTCAGATACTCTTGTTTTTCTATCCTCCACCCCCCCCCCCCCCCCCCCCCCCCCCCCC